AAGGAAGTGAGTTGTGACACAGTACATTCAAAGGGACTTCTTCTCTCCTAGCGGGTCAGGATTTGATACGGTGGAATGTGCCTCTAACGATAAAGTTTGTGCTTGTGCGGAAGTCTGATATAATGGCTTAGGCACTCAGGGAGGGACAGTATTGGTGGTCAGCCAAAAAGAACATTTGGCCAGTTTTCAGCGAGCGTCAGTGGCTGCTTGCTGTAGTCCGTTCGGTAGCTCCACATGGACTCTCCCGTACCCAAAATTATAAAGACTTCCCTTAGGAACTATCCGGGACAAGATCCTAGAGGACAGATTATAAATTCAGTTTCGAAAGAGGTTCTGGAGAGGACGAAAGTTCACTGCTGCTCCCTACCGTTGAATTCTGCAGAATCATAGGACGTTTCCTTTATTCAGAGATGGAGAAGCGAAAATCGGCGTACATGCGTTTCGGTCGATCAGATCCCCAGCTCGCAGATCAGTTGATGATGGACAAAAGGAAGAGCGCCTACATGAGGTAATTTTTCTCTGAATCTCTTCTCGCTACCTTATTCGCAGGAATCCGCTCGCCCAACCGTATGTTCACACTACTCGAACGATGCATTCGTGATTTTGGGAAGGGCGGACGCATGTTGTGGTTGAGCAAGGTCGTAAAAAGGGTTGTATTTGGCGGGTTATTCCACGAGTTTGGGAAATTCATGAAAGTAAGGTGAACCATATAAAACTGCTGAATTTGCCACTTCATGGTACCAATTCAGTATCAGAAAAGCCTCCTGAGACTGATGGTGGTTGGGGGGGGGGATCGCATCGAGACCCCTAAAGGGGGTCGCAAGCAAACGCGACAGTTGACTGTCCACCCAACCATGGCTACGTGACTGTTCGAACTTTCCTCTTTGTTCTATGCCGCGATTGACTAGAACACAGACGATTAGGGAACGGAGCTTGGCTCGGATCCAGCTCCCGAAAGGGAAGGTGTGTTCAACAGCCCGTACGCCACCAACTTTATGATGAACTACGGGAGTTCATCCGTTTGGTACGACGTGGTTCACGTGCACATGCTACTCTACTGCTGACGAAAGTGTGTGACATTAGGTTCAGTTTTGGTTGCATGATTGTGCAGCGTGGATGAACAACAAAAGAAACGGTGTAGAAACGTGCGGAACTTCCTGGATGAAATCAGTCACGTGCGAAAAAGATAATTATTTCTACGTGAAGATTCGGTGGAGGATGACCGGAACGTAAATTACAAATGTTTTTAGGGCACATTGTTGCGTGTAACACAGCTTAATTGCTTAGCAGGAAATCAAGATAATGCTTGTTTTTCGAAGGGACAGCACAGCTAACGCATGGTAAGGGAGAGGTGCAGAGGCAGGGATGTCCGTTTACCACGTACACAGCTCGGGGGAAATCCGAAACCAAATCGTGCTCGCGCCAACCACGAATTTTGTTCCACATACTCGAAACCCTCGTAGCCGGATAACTTGGAACAAGACTCGCATAGGAGGAAGCGCACTTCTAGTTTTGCAGAGGCCGGGCGCTGAAAGTCACGCACTAGCTTGAAAGCGTTCAAACTTCACCTTTATTCCGAATGAAAGTAGAATGCTTGACGCATCCCCGAACAGTGGTTGACGAATGAGCCTTACTTTGCATTTCGCTCTTACTTAAAGATAGGTCCGCGCTCACGGAACTATCGTACCCGACTAGTTCAGTGAGCGCGGACCTTGCCTAGGTACGCAACTGCAGAAATCGCGTCGCGCCACCTTTCTTACAT